AAAAAAAAAAAAAAAAAAAAAAAAAAAAAAAAAAAAAAAAAAAAAAAACCTTTTATCTTTCATATTCTAAAAGTTTTAAGTCTAACTTATCAATGTCATCTACAGCAACGAGTCAAACGAAAGTCCTGTTTATGTTAATTCAAGAGTCTGAAGCACTTGATGGGGATGAGGAGTCCTCGAGAAATGCCTCGACCATAAAATATAACCTTTGTGAGAAATCAAGTTGGTCATGCCCGATCAATAATCTTGCATCCAACTAGCAATATTCATGGCATAAAATCGAGTACAGAACATTCCAACTCCCTATGAACGTTGGAATTCATTAACCATTTGAAAATATGCAATGCTTTGAGATGTCTACGTGGTGAGGTAGGATTGTCGTTCTTATCCCTTTTCATTTCTCATCCTTATGAAGCTCTCCAGTTTAATTAGTGGGAATAATCAACAACACCTAGATCGAACTCGATTAATATCTATCCACAAAAAAATTAAAAATCTAAGAATATGCGAACAAAATGTCATAAAAGATTATTCTCTCTTAAGAATATAGCGTTATCAATATAGAGAGAGAAGTTGGGATGTTTTGATCTCTAAAAAACTTATTTCTTAATGATTAAGTTATATTTAGGTTAAAATATGTTTAATATTTAAATATCATTTTGGTTTTTGTACTTCAATAAATCTTAAAATTAATTTTTATTGTTAGTTTGATATAAAATTTTTATCCAAATTTCTTAAATATTAATAATAATTTTGATAAAAAAAAAACACATTATATATATTTAAGGTTTATAAAGAAAAGTTAACCATTTAAGGGTATTTTAGGTATTTTTTAAACATAGTATTAACCATGATGAAGTATATTAATGAAATTTTTTAAATTTAATAATATTTTTTAAAAATTATTAAAAGTTAAAAGAGTATTTTATTTTTTAGATTTTTTTTAAAGTTGAACAATATTATTATTATTATTATTATTATTATTTATTTATTATTTTTTTTTTTTTGTTAAGACAAAATTATATATTTAGGAAAATATAAAAGGAAAAAAAAAAACTAAAATTTGGTGTAAAAGAAACAACCTTTTACTATATTTATGAAATTAAGGTTTTAGAGATTTAAAGGTCACTCGCGGCATGAAGCGCGTGAAGGAAAGAATTGGCAAAAGAAAAAGGAAATTAAAGAGTGAAACGCAAACCTCAGGAAATCCCATTCTTCTCGTCTTCCATCCCCGGCTTTGCCTCTCTGCACTCGCGCCGTTTTTTTCTGCTCCGTTCTTCGGCCTCAAAATCCTCTCAATCCCAACGCCATTTATCAAAAATTCCAATTCCAAATCCAATTCCAGTTCCAAATTCTTCCATCGCCATCGCCATCGCCATCGCCATCGCCATCGCCATGATCCTCCTCCTCGCTTTCCTCCTCTTCTTTGCCTCTCCTCTCATGGCCGCTTCTGACCCATCCACCATCTACGACCATCTCCACCTTCACGGCCTCCCCATCGGCCTCCTTCCCAAGGACATCACCAGATTCTCCATCGACTCTTCCACTGGCCGATTCCAGGTCTTCCTCGACCAGCCCTGCAATGCTAAGTTCGAGAATGAGGTTCACTATGATTTCAATGTCTCCGGTCGCCTCAGCTATGGCCAGATCGCTGAATTGGCTGGAATTTCCTCGCAGGAGCTCTTTCTTTGGTTTCCTGTTAAAGGAATTCACGTCGATTTGTCCTCTTCTGGTTTAATTCATTTTGACGTCGGCGTTGTTGACAAGCAATTCTCCCTGTCTCTCTTTGAGTCCCCGCCTGATTGCACTGCCGCTGATCCTGTTGATCATTCCTTCGAGTTGAATGGAGCCTCTGTCGATTTGAATGTGGCTATTTCTATGGTACGTTTCAGCTACTGTTTTCGTTCGTTTATCATCTATATTTACTCGTTTCGAATTCGTGTTTATGGTGCAAAAGTAGTTACTATGATGCTTGCTTATGTCTTTGGTTGAATTTTTGCGTTGTTTTTGGGAAATATTGTTGTCTATTATGTATCAGCAGGCATTGGGGTATTATAATTCACATGTAGTTATCATCACGATAATTCTATGTGCTGATTTACCTTGTTATGTTGTAACGATTCCCTGTTTTCAAATCTTATAGAATGATCTGGTTAAAAAATATTACTTCTTTTTAATTCATTGCTTTGTTACCTTCTTGTCGACATTTAGCGTTAGGTTAATGGTTTGGGGTCGAAAAATGATCAAAATGTAGGAGTTGTGTGTTAAGTTTGTGATAGAATTTTAAGTTGTAGAGACATGGCTATGGAGTGAATCATTTGGGCATTGAATTAATGCTTCTTCTAAGAAAAAGAATGTTTAATGCGGTGGTATAGTTCGTCGTGCCATATCATAATAATATTATCGCCGTGTTCGTTCGAGCGAGTGATGGGTGTGGATGGCTTTAGGAATTTTGAATGGATGTTCATGTCCATTACTGCAAGTAGCAAAGATTGAGACTGATTAAGGCCTTGTGTGTTGATATTAATAGGATCATCCAAGTTGTAATTCATAACTTTATGATCTTTCTTTTAGTTACAATGTATTTTCTTTTGATTTATGGTCGCTAGGCTCTTGTTTTTCTATTTGTCATAATTTTGCATTATATTTTGGAATTCTTCATAATGTAGTCATATGTTCTTAATTAAGAGGTTGTTTCTTTGGATTGTCATATAATTTCAGAGTGAAGCACAGAACCTTCAGCTTGAGGACAGGGAACTGCGGGCAGCATCATAGATTACCAATACAAGAAACGTTACGGATTTCCCGAGGCTTTCATTCAAGAGTCTGCCTTTGCTGGTCTGGTAAATTTGTTTCTGCTATTTGTGGATTGCTTTTGTTTTGTATAGTCTTTGTTTCCTAATAGTCCTGTCTTATGGGGATAAGGAGGCTATTATATATTCATATAAAGAGCTCACAGAAATACTTAGCCTCCAATCCTTTAAGTCTATACTATTATTATCTGAATTTAAGCGAGGGAGATTGTTGCTTGGGTCGGCTTATAAGAATCCTAGAAGTCATGTCTGGTATAAGTTTAGCAGTCGTCTTGTCTGTTGTAAGTGCTTTTTATATCTCTTTATGAAGTATATCACTGCTTCTGGCTGTGGTTGGCATTGGCTACTCACAAAAAGAAGTTTTGTTTTGTTGTGTTGCCTCTATAGCCATAAAGTGTGGGCTTGTAAATTGTACATTGCAAAAGTGTTATTTTAGTAGCTAAAAGAGGATTTACATGTATTTTATTATCATGAAGCTTAGGA